GTATTATAGGAGAGTATCTGTTGTTAGGAGTTGTTTAATATTGATTGATATCATATCAAGTAAAACATCAAATGATTAATTGAAATAAGAGTAACAATAACGGCATCTCTAATGCCTTTCACTCTCTCTCTCTGCCATTATATAATAGTCACATCACTGCCTCCCCTCCTATTTTCTCCCCTCAATCTCTGTTGGATTTTACCCTTTTTCCCACATAAGAGCATACATTCCTCTAATTTCTATCTAACATTCAATACATAAATCAATTAATAAGAGATAACCGAAAGGTCTAACGAAAAAGTGCTATTTTTTTGTTCTTTCGGAGGAATTAAAAAAAATGTTTGAATCAATAAATCGTTGATAAGTAGAGAATTGATGGCAAATCCAAACTGTCTTTAGTTTAATCATAATTTATATCGACATTCAGTCGATTTGTGATTTTAACAGAAGAGACATGAGTTTCAAACTAAACAAAATTATTCCGCTCTTTAGACACAGCCGTAAATACTTGTGAAAAAAGTGATTATCATTTGAGTTAAAGAGTGGACACATTTTGATGGATGAAAAGCTAAAATTAAACCTTTATTTAGTCCTTACTTTTTTCGTTTTGTCAGTAAATAAATTTCTAATAATGACTAAAACATAAATCACTTTTAATCTGATAATTTAATTAACAATATTGGCGTTATTATTATGTTTTACAAGTAATTAATTATATTTAATTCGTTAAAAAGAAAACTAATTGTTCGTTACATAAATCAATTAAATTGTATCTCTTGTGAGATTATATAGATTTTATAAATATCTAAATTATAAATATAAAATTTATACATTTAATATATTATATTTTTAATTCACACTTAAATTAAATATTTAAAATCCAAATATTGATATAACAATAGTATTTATGTGTAAAATAGTATTTATTAAAACATATTAAGATATTATATCTTTTATAAAGATATAAGTCTTAATCTCTTCATAAAACCATAGATCTGACTATCATTTGGCGAAATTCAATATATTTATCGACAGAACTGTGCATTCATTTTGTATGCAAACAATTGAAATTCAATGAATATTTTACATAAAAGATTTTTATGGCTAAAAGAAAATTGTAGATCAAATCGATTGCAAAACACATTTCTTCTCTTTTTAAAACATAATCCTCTCTTTTATACGACAAATGCATATCAAATACAAATATATTGAATGTTGACATACTTTAAAACCCTTTTAAAATTGTGTGTATATTTTTACAGTAAAGTATAACAGAGAGTATAGTATTTAAAAATGTTGTAAATATTTATTCATCTCTTTTCATAAATCAATATTTATTTGTTGACTTCAATTCATCAAAAAAACTTGTGAAAACTTTTGTGATTTCTTTCCATACATTAATTTATGGTTCATTTTTATAGCCATAAGAATAACTTCGCCAACAAAAACGAGTTGAGCAAAGAATCGCTGGTTTCGAATAGCATTGGGATTATAAATAAATTCTCTCCTTTTGTCACACCGTATGACTTCTATCGCTGTCTGTCTGACTATCACTTTAAATGATACATAAAGTCATACAATTATTTTACATCCTATGCTGTCATACATACCATTAATTCAATTCCGCATATTTTTAGAAATTTAGACATTGAAACTATTATTATAGGTTAAATTTTGTGTTACACAATCTAATCTAGATTACATTGTACTAGATAGTACTAGATTACACTGTCGCAACAAAACGAGAGAGAGAGAGAGATGAGGAAATGGTTTTAGTTTTATGAAATTAATGATAGCGTAAGACTTGTGATAATCTCTGACACTAATTGTCAAAAACGTCGAGAAAATTAAAAAATATGAGCGAATAGTCATTAAAATAAAAATAGACATCACTTATGAGAATAGAGGGTCAGTTAGAATGGATGGCATAGTTAATGAAAACTTACCATTTTGTTGATTGGTTTCGGAAACTGATGTGTAAAACAATAAGTAATTTAAAAGTGAGAGAAGAAGAGGAGACGAGAAGAGAGCGAAGAATTTTTGGGGAAACGATTCTCACGAATGATATCAAAGAAGTGAGGGATTAGTGTTTGATAGAAAATTTTAATATAGACTGACGTATGAGTACTAATAATAAACACATATAAGGCGTACACATATAAGGCTCAACACATGACCTGATATTTGCAGCACTGAAATAATTGCCAAACCTCTTGGCTCTGGAAAAGCTTTGTTTTAAACTTTTAAATTCCTTCACAATTGAACCCTAATTCTCAAAAGAATGTCAAATGAGAGGGAATAAAATCATTGCATTCAATGATAAACAAAAAAACAATATATGAAACAAAACTATGAAAAGTATTGTATGATAAGTAGAGGAGTGAAGTAGTGATGCTTTTCTGGTCTCTTTAATGGCTTCAACACTACTTGGAAACGAAACCAAAAAATTTGCACTTATTTTAAATGCATTCTACAATATAATAGTTTTACTGCCATTAAAACGATTGGTTATGTTTAAAAAGAAACCAAAATGTTGTAGTCGTTGCAGAAAAAAGTTTTTTTGTTGTTGTTTTTAATGGTTAATAATTTTATATTATAGTGTAAGTCTTTTAATGCAATAAATTATAATTTTATTTTATAACATATAGTTTAAAATACATTTATTTTACACCAAAAAAAACTTCATAAGAAAAACTAAATAAAACATAATGTAAACAATAAAATTCTATTTACAGATTCTGTTCACAGAATTTACTTTAAAATAATTTATAGTCTCTTCTAATGAACCATCAAATACTGGTTCACTAAAACAAATTATTTATATTTGCATTTTGGTCATCCTTTTCAACATCTCTCTCTCTCTCTCTCTCTCT